CATATTATACATAATTATATTATATATTATTATATATTTAAAAAACGATGAAATAAAAGTTATAAGACTTATTTGATCTAAATATTAGCAGTACTTAAAGAAGTACGAAATATATGAAATTTATTTGTTATCATATTTGAAAAATGCGAAATTATATATTATCTGAATATTGCACATATATACTTACAATTAAAAAATTCTATATGTTTAGAATTAAATATTTCTATAACAGCAATAAATTCGGAGTACAAACAATTAAATGGAAATACTGGCAGATAAGAGCCAAGGTGCGGGTATTGGTGCGCGAACTGACTATTGTTAAATTTTATTAACAAATATGCATTAAAAATGTACATTTCACACCATTTCTTGGTCTATCTTCAGCATGGATATAAATATGTAAAAATTAAATTGGTATTTTAAAACCTGACACGCATAACATTTGTTGTTGCAGTCTTTCAAATTGAAATTAATAATCAGAAAGAAAGACTCACTAAAACCCGTGTAAAATCTGTACAAATTAGTGGACAACGTCCAAATGTCATCGCCACACGTATATCGTTGGCGATGGTTTACAACTTTACAATATAATGTCGATGGTTTACAACTTTACAATATAATGAAATGTTTGTAGATTGTCCGTAAACAATAACGTAGTAAATTATTTATAATCAATTCCTTAAAGAATATGATACATGTATATACGGAGATAAGAGTGCCTTAACACATTTATGCATACACCTCAAAGGATATATACATTTTTCATATATGTTCCAATATGCATCTAAATTCATGTTTTGAAGCATTCCTGTTCTCACATGTATACAGAAAAAATTTTACAGTAAAAGTTACATGAAAAATAGTTTACTTTTTTAACATTTTATTGTAAAGCTAGAATATATGTATAATGATATTATAGTATTTATTATTATAAAAATTGTAAATTTGACTGATGATTAATTGAAAATATGATATATACATCAGTAAAAATTGCATATTAGTAAAAATACACATTGCAAAAAGTCGTTGTTGATAAAGTAATTTTTCAAAAGTATGGCTGTTAGATATTTCTAGAGAATCTATATTGTAACTATTACAATTAATTATTGTAATATTTATATTAGCGCAGTGTTATTTCTACTTTATAATTGTAAATTACAATTAATTTTTTAATAATTTGTATAATGATATATGTGTATGTAAGGATAGGGCGAAGATGATGATTACACATAAAAGCGTTAATTTTCATTTTTTTCGATAACAATTGCAACATATATATATAATAAAAGTATTTTTATAGTGAAAGGCGCTTGTGCGCGTGCACTTAGGGCCTTTTTTACACTTTTTTTTTAAAAAGGTAATTGTTTAGCAATTATATCATTTCTTTTTTACTGTGTTATATATTATCTTATTTCTGCAATCAGATTAAATGAATACATCTATTATATTTCTGAATTATAAAAGCAACTCTTTCATTTCTTTGATTGATACTATACGCTTGTGCTATACTATAAATTACCTAACTAATCTGTCTCGTAAATATATAGAATACACACATCATAACTTATATAATTTATATTATATTATAACTTATATTGTATTATAATTTAAATATAAATTAAAAAGTGATAGATGTTATGTTTCTTTTTTTAAATATTTAAAATCTTAATGTATGAAAACGATCTCTTTGTAACGCTTTTGTACATATTTTGGCTAGTTGTTTCTCCGAAGGTACGTATTTTATTGCTATGTCCTTATTTCTTTCTCTCTAACGAAATGGAATCTTATATCTACGTGCTTGGTGTGTTTATGAAATTCAGGATTATTTATCAGTCTGATTGTACTTTGGTTATCTACGTAAAGATCGGTAGGAGTAGATATGTCACAGTCTAAGTCCTTTAGTAGTTGACGAAGCCACACGGCCTCCTTTGATGCCGTTGATGCTGCCACGTATTCAGACTCAGTAGTGCTTAACGTTACCAATTTTTGTCTCTGCGAAGACCAGCTCACAGGTGCATTGCACATATTGAAAACAAATCCTGTTGTCGACCTGCGTGTATCGATATCTCCAGCGAAATCCGCGTCTGAATATCCGATTAACATATCTTTTCCATCCTGAACTTCATAAAGCAATCCATATTCCGCGGTATCAATTAGGTATCTAAAAATTCTTTTTATTGCATTCCAGTGACTTTGTTTGAATTTATCCAGATATCTACTTACTATATTAACTGCATACGCTATATCTGGGCGCGTAACTAATGCTAGAAACATAAGAGACCCTACTGCTTCTCTATATGGAACTTTTGTTATTTCTCTCTCATCAAAGTCACTGTTTGTAAGTGTAGTATGAGGGTCTGCTGGCACATTCACGCTTTTAGCTTTTATAAAGTTGAATTTTTCTAGTATGCGACATGTGTACAAACTTTGGTGAATAAATATTCTTTTATTCGATCGATCACGCTCTATTTGCATTCCGATAAACAATTTCGCGTCTGCCACTGTTATTTTAAATGCGTTGCTTAGCTTAATTACTACCGTTTGGATCGCGTCGTTTGATTCGCTTACAATTAGGCCGTCGTCTACAAATAACGCAAGATACACTAATTTATTTTTAACAATATCTTTATAGATACACTTGTCCGCGCACCTTTCCTTAAAATTAAAAGTTTGTAAGAAACTGTTGAATTTTTTTATTCCAGCAACGGGGTGACTGTTTCAGTCCATATAGTGATTTGTTTAACTTACAGACCATTGGCTCGTTTCTTTCTCGCTGCTTTAGGCCCTCTGGGATTTCCATGTATATGGTTTTCTCTAGCTCTCCATATAAGAAAGCTGTTCGTACGTCGAACTGAATCATCTCCATGTCCCGTTTTGCTACGAGTGCCAGAAATACTCTCAGAGAATCGTATCTGACTACGGGCGCGAATGTTTCCTTGTAGTCTACTCCCCAATGTTGTTGGAAACCTCGAGCGCATAGTCTGGCTTTGTGACGGGTGACTTTTCCTTCAGGGTCGTAGATGACCGTAACACCCACTTGGAATCAATTGCCCGTTGATCCTTTTGTCTCACTACCAGTGTCCAAGTTTTGCTTATTTTATGAGCTTCCAGCTCCTCCTCAATGGTCTTGGTCCATTTGTCTGCGTTTGGTCTTGTTATTGCTTCCTGGAATGTTTCAAGTATATTAAGATGGGCTAGATTTAACTCATACCTCTTTGGGGGTTTGATGGAAGCTCGGTTCCTCAGACTCTTTGGGGGTGTGAGTTGCTGATTTCTGGCTGATAATCGTGCAGGCTCGGCTTCTCCTTCATTTTCTTCCCCAGTCTCCAGTCCGTTTACACTTTCGGTGTCTTGTTCGCCATTGTTTTGTTCTTCCTCCTCTTCCTCACTGAATTGCTGGGACCACGCTTCGGTATTGATACTTGTTGTTTTGTCATTCTGCTGACTGATGTTTTCTTCATTGAAGATCACGTCCCTCGATATGGTTATTTTGTCTGTTTCAGGATCCCACAGTTGGTAATTTGTTGATTCGGCTTGGTACCCGACCAAAATTAACTTTCTTGCCTTCTTGTCCATTTTTTTTTTGAAACTGTTTGTCAATGTGCGTATAAGCCTCAGATCCGAAAATCTTCATATGTGATAGTTCTGGTTTCTTCTCATTCCACGCCTCGAAGGGGGTGATTGTCTTTCCTGCTTTAAGCGGTGTGATTTAATATGTACACTGCCGCGTTTATCGCTTCAGCCCATAGTCTTACTGGTAGAGTCTTAGCTTGTAACATTGTTCTTGCACTTTCGACTATTGTTCTGTTTTCACGTTCAGCCTTTCCATTCTACTGTGGTGTGTATGGTGCAGTGCTTTCTAGTTTGATGCCTCGCTCTTTTATGTAATTTCTCACTTCATAGTTTGCATATTCTCTGCCATTGTCCGCGCGCAGAGTCTTGATACTGTGTCCATATCTGTTGCTCACTAATCTATCAAACTCTTTTAGTTTCTCGCACACGTCTGACTTGTGTTTGATGAAGTACACAGTTCTATAGTCTGTTGCTTCATCGATGAATAGTAAATAATATTTGACTCCTCCAAGAGACATTTCTGAAAATAGACCGCTTACATCTGTGTGCACTAGCTCTCCTGGTTTCCAGCACTTTTCTTCGGATATTTTTTGTCAAATTTGAGTCTGTGGGCTTTTCCATATTGGCATGCTTCACAAAAGAAGTTTTGCTTGTTTGTCACTTTTATGCCCTTCACTGCACCACTTTCTAGCACTGTTCTTAATTATCCGATGTTTATGTGTCTTAGTCTTTCATGCCACTGGCGCAAGTTCGTGGCAGACATATTCGCTTCATTGCCACTGTTTTGTGCGTTCACTTTGAAGAACAGCTTGTATATGTCGTTCGATTGCTTGTGACCTACTGCTTGTATTTTGCCCCTTTTCATTAGCACTACACTTTGTTTGTCGAAGATAACATTGTAGCCTTTCCTTGCACAGGCTCCCACAGAAAACAGATTCTTTTTAATGTCTGGTACTAGAAGCACGTCTTCTATTCGTGCTTGTTGCCATTTACCGTTTACTAATTTGTCTATGATTACTGTGCCACTGCCGGTGACTTTGCACTGTCCACTATTTCCTAATGACACTAGTTCACCTGCCAAAGGTGTTAGGTCGGTAAGCCATTCGCGTCGGTAAGTCATGTGGCGTGACGCTCCACTGTCGGTTATCCAAGTATCTTCCGAGTTCATGGATTTCAATTCCTGTATGGCTTCACTAGATGGCGGCACCTCCCACTTATTATTTTTCATACTCGGCACTGTGGCAACGAAAGCATTGTTTTCTCTGTCGTTGTCTGTGTCCTTTTCTTTGTCCCTTTTCTTTTTGTAGCAAGGGCAAAATGTCCTCTTTTTTACAATAATAACACTCTTGTTGAGATTTATTGCGTTGATCTGACTGTCTATAATTTTTCCTGTCCTTATTACCACGAGGATCACGGTTTTTTTTTGTCGTTGGTACTCACTGCTGAAAATGCACTTGTTGTCTCACTTTCAATAGTTAGTCTGCATTCTTCCTATATCAGTCTTTCCAGCAATGCTCCGACCCGTTGCTCTTCCACTGGTACGCTATCCCACGCTGTTGCAAGTGTACTGTATTTTGCTGGTAGTGAGCCTAGTATTTTGGCCATTATATCGACTTCCGTTATGTCTTGACCCGCATCCTTCAATTGACTAGCGAGATTTTGTAATAATTGTTTTTGTAATAAAATTGTTTGATACATGCTGTATCACAGAGTCTTCTGACTTCATCCGGTATTCGTGATACCTTTGCAACAGTAGTAATCTATTCGATGCTGACTTTTGTTCGTAGATTCCTGTCAAGGTCATCCACATGTCCCTTGCTGTAGAACAGGTGATTAGCCCTCGCAATTGTTTCCTTTCAATTGCTGTTGAGATCAGGCTCATTGCCTTTGAGTTATCCTTGACCCACACCTTCACCGCCGCGTCCGCTGCTCCACCGGCCGGTCTTATCCGCGTGCCGTCCACTAAGTCTTCAAGCCCATGTGCCATCAGTAGTTGCTTCACTTTAAATTTCCAGGTTTGGAAGTCTGATCCATCAAACTTGGTAATTCCCCTGCCAAGTATCTCCATCGCCATTATGGCCACCAGCACGTGTTTCTTTCTTCCGGTCTCAAAGCTCGTACAGAAAACTGCACTCGCTCGTCACTCGCGATCAATGCCTTTTTTTTTTGTTAATCGCAGACTGCTGGGCCCATAATCTGTTGAGGGCTTTATATGGAAGCGTGATTCTGATCGAGGACGAACAATCGGGAACGAAGTATTATGCGAGCAACTGACTGACTTTATTTCACGGCGGTCTTTGTACAAGTGTGCGGGAATCCCGCGTACATCACCGGTTCGTGCTTAGCGCCTGCGCTTCGATCTTTTGCGTGGTTTCTAGAGCTTTCTAGAGCATGTCTTATTTCCGCTACTGTGACGATCGACTACGCATGTTTTCTTCCGCCTTTCTTACTCGCTCGCTCATCACATGAAGCATTTGTAAACAATGTTTAACATATAATATAATAAGGCAAATTGGTATCAAAAAATATATAGTTGTTTTTAAAGTAAAATATATAATTTTTATGCAATATACAATTATATACACTAGAACATTACAAACATGTGCTATGCGCGTGCCATTTATCATGCTATATTTGATTTTTTGCTTTCTCATATAGGAAGCTTTGTTTTGGTGACAAAATTTTTTTTCGAGTTTTCTATGCCAATGTGTTTAGAATGTTCTAAAACGTCAAAAATTATATTCTTAAAAAATGTCTGTATGTATGTATGTATGTGTATATGTGTGTATGTGTGTACGCAATATATTGTACAACCTCTAACTTCCGCAATTTTTGAGATATCAGGATATTTTTTTTACATGGATAGAGTATCGTTAAAGGATGGTTGGTATTGAATTTAGTGAGAATCGATGAAAATGTTCATTTTTTATAAAATTTTTAATTTTTTGAGAAATGTCTGTACACGTTGTAACTTTCGCAAATTTTGAGATATTAGGTTAATTTTTTTTACATGGATAGAGTATTATTAAAGGATGTTTCATATTTAATTTAGTGAGGAACGGTGAAAGACTTCATTTTTTATAAAATTTTGAATTTTTTGAGAAAAGTCTATTCACGTCTCAACTTTTGCAAACTTTAAGGTATCGAGTTAAATCTTTTTATATGAATAGAGTATCATTAGTTGGTATTGAATTTGCTTTTTCTATAAGGAAGCTAAAATTGAAAAACTCGCTTGCTTTAAGGAGTTTAAGCTTTGTGAGCGAAATAAAATTCCTCTATGAGAAAGCAATGTGCAAATTTTTATATAAACTCGTAAAAGCAATATACAGTTAATAAAAAATAAAAAAATTTAAAGCAATTTATTCAAAACAATTTATTAACATGTTAAAATAAAAAGCATTCTTTTATTAATATAAATTTACATATACACAAGCATGCATGTGCATACTTATGTACACATAACACACGCTCACACGCATATACACATATATCCACATATGCATGTATACACAAATAACTATAATGTAATCATTCTGTCTCGGACATCCATGCATGTGCAACATTTGCCTTCTGTACAACATGAGTGACTCACTCAAGTTCGGTATATTTGTATATTACCATCAGTTGTTTTTTTAATGTTCCTCTATGAGAAAGCAATGTGCAAATTTTTAATTTTTTAAAATATATTGTATGCAAATACATTAATATATGGTATATCATTTTACACTTTATAATAGCCAATATGTTTTATAATAGTCAATATATTTTTAATTTATATTGATATAAAATAATAAAATAATAATATATTCATATTCTGTATATTTGTATATTACCATCAGTTGTTTTTTTAATGTAGTATATTTTATCGGACAGTCTCTTTCTGTCTTGAAATTCCATTATATAATATTTACCTTCTGAAAACATGGGTGACTTACTCTTGTTCTGCGTATTATTATTATTACATTTTTGATATAATATATTGCATATACTTTGTAATTGCTCTGAAGATGGTCCAAAAAAAAGGATCGAAACGTACGCTTTTTGTGATTGCGTCTATCATTTAGTTAAAATATTAAATGTAATTTGATTATAATAAAACATATGCGCACAAATTACCGCGCTGGCTCTTGATTGTCTTTTGTCTCCTTCATATGATATGTTCATAAGAGCCTTTATTAGTTTATTTAACTATTTCTTTTTCTCTCTTTTTCTCCTTTTCTCCCCCTTATCCCTCTCACTTCCTCTTTCTCTTTTCCTCTTTTCTCTCTTTTACATCTGTCCCATCTCTCTCGCTTCTCTTCTTTCTCTTTTCCTTTCTTTCCTTCTCCTCATTTTTCTCCTTTATGTCTTCTTTTCTTTCCTTCCTTTTCTTGCTTTTATTTCCTTTTTTCTCTCTTTCTTTTTTTGCTCTCTTTTTTCTTCTCTCTTATTTTCTTTTTCTCTCTCCCTTTCTTTTTCTCTCCCTTTCTTTTTCTCTCTCTCTCTCTCTTCTTCTTTTTTCTTTTTTTTCTTTCTTTTTTCCATTCTCTCTCTCTCTTTTTTTGTCTCCCTTTTCCTCTCCTTCATTTTTCCTTTTTCTTTCTCTCTTTCTTTTTCTCCCCTGCTTTTTTTCTTTTTTCGGTAAATATAGCGAATAGGGGACCCAGCCCCAATGACCTTGACCTTGACATATGTTATCAAGGACATAATTCTGAGTAACTTTTTCTTTTAATTTAATCGTCGTTCGTTGCTTATTAAAAAGTTATTGAAAAAAAAAAAAGTTTGAAATATACCAAAGTACAAGCACGGACAGGAAGCACGCGCGCGCGTTAATAGAGATATAAATCAATCAATGTCAAATTTATGTAATACTATAGCAAATGTTTGTAATACATTTCGACGATACTCATGTCAGCAGTTTCTTTCTTTACTTTCTCTATGCAGTGTCGACACAATTATATCTATAGCAATGTAGCATCCGTATTTAAAGCTTTTCTGCAATGTATCATATACATTTGACAAATATATACAAGTTAACTTATTTGTATAATATTAACAGTGGATGTGCTTATACTTGAATTTATCTACATTTAAGTAGGAATTCTATGCGGGTTTTAGTGAGCTTTCCTTTCTGATTATTAATTTTAATTTGAAATTTGACTGCAACAACAAATATTGTGTATGTCAAATTTTAAAATTCCAATATAATTTTTATATTTATATCCATGCTTAAGATGGACCAAGAAATGGTGTGAAATGTTCATTTTTAATGCATATTTACTAATAAAATTTAACAATAATAAATTCGCGCACCGATACTTGCACCTTTGCTCTTATCTGCCAGTTTTCCTACTTGATTGTTAGTACTCTGAGCCTATTGCTGTTATTATTGAATTTACCTGTATGTTGTATTATAAATTTATTGTAAATTTATCGTATTTATTTTGATGCGTAAAATATTTAGTGGTTTGGATCAATTTCTTCTATTTACTGGATTCTGTCGTTAGTAGAAAATTTGAGAAAACCATTGTCCAACATCTCATCCAGCAATTCGTCTACAACTACATATTTTTTCTTTATTATTATCCCTGTGCATTCGCACTAAAATAATTTTCAAACGTATCCACAACTTTACATAAAAATAATTGACAAATAATTGAAAAACTGGAAAGAAAGGAAAAATGTTTATGTTATGTATCACTGCATATAAATCATACAGCAAACATAATCTTGCCAAATTAAAAACTTACCTTCTGTTATATATACTATAATAAAGTATGCACTGGCAATCACTATCACTGGCAAAGTGTGAAATAAACGTTTCATATACATACACATTCTTTAGATACAGTTAAAGACGAAGTAGAAAATATTATGAACATGGAAGATGAACATAGCCTGGATGATATTACGGAGGACATAACGCATCTTACGGAAATGGCGTCCAATAATTGGAAAGAATGACTTGAAGTTATTGACAATGAATTAAAAAAAGAATCCAAGACCGAAACCAGATAAGCGCACAAGATAGACGGAATTTTGTACTATTTATTAAATTCATGTCCATTTCACAGTTTAATACAAACATTATTTGTAATTGGATTAGATGAAAACATAAAGAAAATGATAGATAAATAATTTTAATAAAACAGAAGCATAAGAGAGTTTCTAAAATCGTTTTTTTTTTTTTAATAGGTAACTACGATTGAAGAAAATGAGTTCTTTGATATTGTAAAATATTTTTTCAAGCGTGGTATTATCAATGAAGTCTATAAACGCAGAACCAAACTTATGGCAACTCATGGAAACATCGTCGCTTATAATAAAAGATTGGAGCTATTAATAATTAACTGCGAAAGTAATGTGGGGTAGATGTTTTTGCAATTAATTGACAATAGTTTTTACTCCTTGAAGTATGTCGATTATTGTAAAAAGCAATTTAGTGAAGTAATAAATCACCAATGCGAGATGTTATTTATGAAAGAAACGCAATTAAGAAAGGAAAATATTAATATTAACGAAGTGGAAGAAGCATTTCCACAAAAACGGAAATGCAATACCTGTTAAAGACAAAAATCAGAGAATTTTAGAAAATAAGTAAATAAAAAAATAAATAAAAATATAAAAATAAAAAGTAACATAATATAACACGATTATTATTATTTTTGTAATGTTACACATGATTTAGTAATAATAGATATTGTCACCTCTGAAAAATATATGATAGAAGAAATATCTAAATATCTAATAAATAAACAAAACAAAAAGGCAATTATGCGGAATTATAAGATATGTGGGCACTGTGGGCAAATGTATTGGACACTATACAGCAATGTGCCAGCGGTCCAATGGAAATTGAAAAAAATTTGACGGGCTAAAAAAAAAGATATCCGACAAATCAGAAAGCAAAAAATAATATCAGCAATACTTTTTTATAAGTTATAGAGTTATATACTTTTTTAATATGTATATATTTATTTCTGTGTGCATGTATGTATATATGTGTACGCAAACACGTAATAACAAAAATTTTTTTTAATGGATAGAGTATCATTAAAGGATGGTTGGTATTGAATTTGGTGAGAATCGGTGAAA